ACCACAGACTGAGAGAACAACAGACTGACAGACTGAAAGAACCACAGACTGACAGACTGACAGAACCACACACTGACAGACTGACAGAACCGCAGACTGACAGACTGATAGAACAACAGACTGACAGAACACTCGACTGCCTTACCGCCCATACCACCGATTGCCCGAGCCTCCTCTACCGACATCTTTACCTTCACATCAATTGGCTCGTTGTGCATTTTTGACCCCCTCCTCATATTCATCACAATCATCCTCATCCTTATTAGTTTTATTATTATTATCATCATCGCTCCGTGGCTTCTCGTTTCAATGGCAGTCTGGTGGACTAGATTGGCTGGGAAGACAAACAGGCCCACTGTGTACATGTGCCTCGCTACCTTGACCGGCCATCTCCCCTTCCCCCTCTTCCAGCCCGCCCCCGTTTCTCTCTCTCTCTCTACCCCTCCCTCTCCTACTCCCTCCTCCTCTGCACACCAGTGCGCATAAACTGTTAAAATGTCATACAGACTAATCGATTCAGTGCACGAGTCAGTCTCCGGTACCGATTCCATTTGTGTGGTCACACCGCAGATATTGCCAGTGCGCCCACCGTCATAATCACAGAGGCCCTACAGCATAAGTAGCGACATTTATTTGTCTGTCAAAATTTGCATTACTTTGAAGCATTGTTTGTATTTTCGTCTGCAGGTAGCATTTTTCGTGTCTTTCTGCTTCCTTCCACCTACACATGTGTCTATTTGTATGTGTGTATGTATGTTCGTGTGTGTGTGTGTGTGTGTGTGTGTATTAGCGAGTTTCAGTCCGTGCATTTTTCACATGTGAAGAGCATGCACACTTCTCATTCTGCTATCAGAGCGAGCAAAGGTTTCGCCTCCGACGGTGTGGACACAGTCGGAGCCGCGGTGCCACCGAATTAGCCTCAGAAGTGGCTATGATTAAGGCAGCGGAAGGGTGGGAAAATCCACCTTTCCGCCCGAGGGACAGGTGGGCCAATAAAGTCAACGCAAGCCTATCAGCCCGGCGTCTAACCCTATTTTCTTTACACTCACCTCGGTCTTTCCGATACCAATACACACCCACACACACAAACAGAAACACACACACACACACACCGACGCAGAGGCATTATTACACATGCGAATTTACGTGAAAATGTGTGTTCTATTACCGCGTCTGGTGAGCTGTAACTTTGCGACAGGTCGACCGACCTGTCTGGGAAAACTAGCGAGATTGTGCTCTCTTTAACGTCCACCTGAAGTAACAGTTCAAAGATCCCTTTGCTAATATCTCTCCTTACTTCTCATCCACCTTCTGATGACTTTCCAGACTGATTGGGCTATTTAGCTCGAGTTACCGTCTCTTTTTACTCTTGCCTCCGT